ACACAGATTCAGTATTCCTCAAAATGAATACAAATAATGCAACTCAGAATATGACGCAAACCTGCAATAATTAAATGTTAAAGAACACAAATATCCTTTATGTATTTAATCCCATTCGATGATTCAGTTCAACCGTACTAATAAGCACAAATTACAAATACATTTTTTTTTATTGCTGAAGTGTGTTGAAATATCTTCTTCTGCATTCTACTGTACGGACGTACATTTACTTTTCCGTCAGCCCGAGGCTTATTTATTTAGGCTTTTATATTTGCCAAAAATATAACTTTTTTATTTTAAAAACAAACAAGCAAGCCCTGTCCAGATTTAAAAAGTAGCGCAAAAGTAACGTAACGCACTACTTTCCATAAAAGTAACTAAGTAACGTAATTAGTTACTTTTTTATGGAGTAATGCAATATTGTAATGCATTAATTTTAAGAGTACCTTTCCCCAACACTGTTTATATTTCAGTATTAGTGACGTTTTTTTAAGTGTATTTTAAATCTAATATTTATATTTTCTTTCTTTTTTTCAATTAAATCAAAACGGTTTTGAATAGTACTAGTTTTAGTTAACAATAACAACACTGCTTTTTAAAAGCAGTTGATGTTTTCAGTATGGCAGGGTACAGTTGAGAGGATTCTCCTTCATAAACAGTAATGCAGAGTTAGAAATCATATAATCGCTTGCTCTTATCATTACTGAAGTGTTAGGCTGAGTGCTAGCTGTTGTTTAACACTCTGCATGGGGCTTTAATTGACCCCGAGCCTCTGTGGTGAGATCTGTCAAAGGGTTACAGGCTGACAAAATACACGCCTGGCAACCCTTTTCCCATCCACAACACACAAAATATTGTATTATACTTTTAGTTTAATGCTACCATCAAACATAATTTACAACATGCTAACGTTCAAAAACCGCTCACTGCTTGTCCGGTTGATATTGTTAACTCAAACTATTAAAAATCATTTTCAGTAACTGAAATAAAGCTGAAATAAATGATAATAACTGAACGAAAAACCTAAACTTAAATGAAAATTGGCAACTAACTGAAATAACTAGGCTGAAGTACTAAAATGACTAAAAGTAAAATAAAATTATAATATGAAAACGACAAAAACACATAACAAAATGACTAAAGCTTAATCTGAAATTAAAATGAAAACTGAAAATACAATATATATTGAACAAATATTAGTAAATTACAAATATTTGATACATATGAACAAATATTAATAAATGCTAAGATAGCATAATACTAAAATAACACTGCTCTATGTCAGTGGTTCTACAGAAGTTAACATGCTGCCTTCGAAGTCAGCTGTCTATATAGGCAGTGAGCAGCTCACTAGGTTTGGGAAGGTAATTTCTGATATCACCTAAAAACAACATCATCTCCGAAGCATTTGAGGACACTTACTGTAGATAATGGACGAAGGTGGGATCTCGGCCGTTGAATCCTCATACCTCCTTTGGTAGTTAGGCTCCCTAAAAATACACAACGCACTGAACTCAGTAGTGTTCTTTAGCAGTGTTGTGCTTTGCTCGTGTGGTGGTCACAGTAGACTCTGTGCTCC